TAGTGGAGTGAGAGAATGAGTTAAATGTATTAAATGAAATGCATTGCATATGCTTTTTGCAAAGGGCAAAGTCACACCACCCACACACATGCGCACAAATGTTCGTTGATATTTGATATTTGACGTGTGTGGCATGATTAATTTTGTTAGGGATGTTATTTGGATCTGCAAAGACCGAATTAATACCCAAATCCAAATTGTTTTATTCAAACATCACAATAAGCAACTTTGGTGCAAGTCGATTTTTGCACTCTCGCAAACAATGCCTCGTGTTCATCCAAGCGTGAACACATACCACACAAAAGTGGTACCAAATGATTTGGGATAAAACACTCTTTCATAAGATGTATAATAATTTACTGTTCATAGATGATTTTTAAAATAATTAGCAATTGTCTAGGTGTAAACTTTTTTTTGACTCACTCTGTAGACAGACTACCTGTCAAGAAGGACCATATTTTTTGTTTCCCTTGAACTGTTATTCTTATTGAAACCTTTTCTTAAGTAACCTTTACTTAAAGCCACACTTTCCTACTTGTAGCTACTTGCTCCCTCTATATAGAAAACAATGTCTAATCGGTGACCATTGGTCTCCCATGATCCTCTTTCCCTTATGTTAATTGAGAGCTGAGTTGATGAGATAACCACCTGTCAGTGACCTTGCAGGATGCTCTAATCCCTCCTATAAACTAGTACAGATAAGCTTTCAGGACCTCATTTGAATCTTGCTTGAGTTGTCTTTACATGAGCAGTTTTCAATGAAATACATTCAGTTTTATAATCATGTAAGAGAGTTCATACTGTTGTAGTTGTTTTTTTATCAAATTTCTGTATAAGCATCTAAAGAAATTTTCATTTTGAATTCAATTGAATTGAATTTTCAACAAGTACTTTAATTGCAGTTGTTGGCCTCTTTCTTTCTTTTTTTGGCACAGACCAAGAGCATATTCAGCATTGGTTTCTTGACCAACCGGATGTTTCTCTACGCAGTCGGAGGGTCAATCATGGGTCAGTTGCTGGTCATCTATTTCCCTCCACTACAAAGGATATTCCAAACAGAGGCATTGACGGTACACGGTGAGTCAGATTCTCAGATAACATGCCACCCCCGGAGGGTGACACGACATTTGCTCCTGCGACAATTGCTCCGGGCTTTATTTCGTCTAAGATGTAGGGTTAGGGTTAGGGTTTCAATAGGGTTTTATGTTAGGTTTAGGGTTAGGTTTAGGGTAGGGTATAGTGTTGAATCCAGGGTTGAAGTTAGCCATTCGATTAGTGTATGAAATTTACAGCGGAGCAATTGTCGCCGGAGCAAATGTCATGGAATCCCCCGGAGACCTACCACCTTAGATAACTGCTCTCTGCAAGAGTGACCTATAAATACAACTGCCCTTTGGACAATTATCCCCTAGACTACATTTGTATCTGCTGGACAGCCCCCACCTAATTTCATTGTGTTATTACATTATACAGGGGATTCCCCTTTCTGGGAGTGATAAGGGTATACATATACACCATCACACATGTATAAAATTTGTCATCATTTAGAGTCGCATAAAATCATATTTACACAGAAAAAAGGGGTTATTATAAGCAGTCATAAATAAAATATTCATATGATAAATATACATATGTAAATAAGGCATAGTGGAAAGCAAAAGGAAAAAAAAATAAATGAAATATGAATTTTGAAATTAAATACTTTTCTTTCTCCTTCACAGATATTGGCCTGTTGGTGATGCTGACGTCATCGGTGTTCATTGTTTCCGAGATCAAGAAATGGTTTCAGCGGAGACTAGAGAAAAAGCGAACTCTCCCCGAGCCGTGCGACTTTGAATATGTCTGACCGTAATTCTGTCCATGGGTGTGCTAATATGCTTGTGCGTGCGTGTGTGTGTGTTTTGGTTTTGACCAAACTCTTACATTTGATTAAAAACCAATTCAGTCCATTATCGTTTATCTACTGCAATTCTACATATAAAATATACATGACTTATAATTGGCTTTCATGGGTTGTACCTGCAAGGAACATGTATAGAATATTAAAATCAAAAACATTTCACTTAGAAATGTAATATTGAAATGCACTTTTTACATAGAATGTTATCAAAGCAATGGCATATAGTATTGCAATCACCAATATGAAAATAAAGACGTATTAAAACGTATGTTTAAAGCACTTTTGGGAAGACATATTAAAGCGTATGTTTATTAACAGCATTTTGGGCGAGTCTTGTGTTCATGTTTAGAAAAATAGTATTCAGGTGTTTCATTTTTGTGGTTGTTGTTGTGTCTTTTAATTCTATGGACCGTTTTGAACAACATGCAATGCAATGCAAGCATAAACATGTTTTGTGATACATCATTTCACAATTTAGATATACTTTCATGGAAAATCACCCGATTCATTATATTTCCTGACTGCTAAGAAAGCAAATAATATGCTTTAATTTTTAGCAACTAGTGGGCATAAGATAATGCCTTTTAAAACTTTTTAGAACATTCAAATTAATTTGTTGAAGCAGATTAAGAGAAAGAAAGATTTGATATTTAAAGGCTCACAGAGAATTCAAATGGGTGTTAACTCTGAATCTTGATTATAGTGCAATTTGAGTATAAATATCACATCTAAATATATGAATCTTTTATTTTGAAGAAAGGATGATTGCATGGAAAACGACATATAATTAAAATTGCCCTTTAAAGGCATTGTTTAACAATATTTCCAGTTTTACAAATCTAAGATACATGGCCCTACATGTTATCAGTGTCTGTGATATGGTGTAATATTGAAGCCCTTAAAAAAAATCATGAATTGCTTTAAAAAATTAAAAATCTTTGAGAGACCGGTTTTACCATACTCATTTTCCCAATAGACTGTAGTGATATAAAATAAAAAAAAGACGGGGAAGCGGTTTTTTGAAATTTCGAATTCAAGTCATAAATATCTCGATAATCAAGTATGCGATTGGCTTGTAAAAGTCATGGGATTCATGTCTGACCTTAAGGTTTACACTTATGATTGCAGCACAAGCTAAATATAGGATTTTGTTAAGCATCAGAGGCAAAAATTCCTAATATCTTTAAAGACACTTCCATTTTGGTGCATTGCATGAGTTTGATTGTAACACACTGTGAGTAGTTCCCATAGTTCACATAATCACATAATATTGTCACAACCGGTTTTAATAGGGACATCTAAATACATGTATTGTCAAAAGATGATTGGTTTGTTTAGCAGATTTTGTATTTGTCACCAAATGCTTATTACTTTCACAGTACGTTTCCTTTTGCACAATGTGTTATCTTTCAAGCTTTGTATTTATTTGTATGTAAATTCAGGAGTTTTTTTATGTGTGATATTTCTGCATATATATATATATTTTTTAATAGAGGGTTGTTTTCTAGATGAGGATCGCAATTGATAGTGTTAACGTATGGATTTATATCTAAATATTTTGTTCCAATCCTAAATTTAGAGCAAATTTTAAGTTGTTACAATTTCTAATGTCCATAGAGACGAAATATCTCAGTGAAATAATGTGCATTTTTTAAAGTTTGAGAATTTATTGTATACTTTGTGGGGGGGGGGGGTAACATTGTGTAAGTCCAACTTTTAACCTTATAATGCAGACTTTTTGCATTTTTTGATTATCAAAATAATTGTTAATGGGGAAAAAAAAAGGTAATGGTCAGTGTAAAAACTTGTTGGTCACCTTATACTTTGCACAATATTTTTATTTTTGAGTGGAAAAAAAGTGCCTATTTTTGTCAGCTTCTACTGGAGCATGTTTTGTAAACTTGTCTTTTCAAAGCAAGAATGCATACCTTAAGAAGGAAAGTGAAAAAAGCACTATGTCATGTTTTGTACCATTTACATACTACTGCACAAATATATTAGAGTCAACTTTATCCCAGCAATTTGTAAACAATGACACTTTTGGTATTTATGTGTAATATGTTTGCCTTTTTGCAATTAGAAAGGAAAGTAATATTTGTATAATTTTGCAGAGAATCTTTATTTGATGGTTTCACATGTACATGTGGAAAATTTCCAATGAATACTGTATGTCTTATCTACTGATGACAACATTAATGAGATAGTATGATTGTATTTTGTAGTCACATTGCTATAAAATGATACTGGGATTATTCTTACTTCATCATGAGTTGTCAATTTATGACTGAAATTAAAAAAAATAGGTCAGTTATGATAAAGGTTAGAATGGACTTCTTCACTAGTACAATCATCTCCCAGAAATATTCTTGCCAAATAAATGTTTCGATGTGGCATGTTTGATCAAGAATTTGAGTATTCAGGGTCACCAATCTTTCCCAGTAGCTATTTCTAACCCTCAACTAGATTAACAAGCTTCGTGAATATTCAACATTTATAACAATTACAGAAGTTATAGAGATTGCTGCTATAAAATCAATAATGTACTTACAATACTTCATTTATGCATCCTTAAAATTCATTGTAATATCGGGTGTTTTTGTAAGTTTTTTGTAAGGTTGCAAATTTGAGTGTGTAAGTTTGTAACATTGTCTTCATATTCATCTGAGAATGCCCTACAATCAAATTTTTTAATATATTTTTGAACCTCCGAAAATTGGGGCAATATTTGTTCTAAGGGACAGAAATGTCACAAAGTAATGTATACAATCATGGTGGTTTGCCTAAAAAACAAAGATTTCTGTATTGGCATGAGCATTACATCTTTACCATATGCACTAGACCTATATCCATGTGATATGATTAAGACTGAGATGTATATATTACTCTCGTCTGTTGAACTGCTTCAATCATACGGTCTATTGTCAACTGCCATTCATGCTGGTAATATTGGTTATTTTTTATAATTATGTTGAATCTTGTATGAATATTAAATAAGAATATAGATATTTCTTTGAATGCGAGTTATTATTCTGTTACTACATGAATTGACACAAGTTCACTTGTGCTTACAATGTACGACAGAAGAAAAAAATACAGAGAGTAAAGATATCAACTGCTATCATTTAATAATAAATTTTAAAATACCTTTTATATTTAATAGTTACAGACATATTTCATCACACATAATAGTTACAGACACATCACAATAAAGCAGACACAAGTTCGTTACCTCCATAATGTACCTAATTTATCCTAAAGTGCTAAATTACAGGTGAAAGACATCTGAATATGAAGGATTAAAAGGAAAGTAATTGATTTTTATTACATAATGAAGATCAATGAAAGTTTAAAGTAGAATGAACTGTTTCAACAACAAACAAAAACCTTCAATACAAAAGATATACTCCAACCTTTCAGATACTGAACTGTATTGCTATTAATATGGATTGGAAATAATTATTTCACCTTATAAATACATGTATCAAGACTAGAACTCTTCTTTACAACTGAGCTTCAAAATAATTTTAAGTACTGGTTTGATATTGATGGATACGAAATTGATTATTCTAACAATTTATTTACCAAGACTAATTTCTGACGGAATAATTAAAACCTTTCATACTTTTACATAGTATGAGCCATTCCACATCAAAACTATATTAAAGGTAAAATAAAGAATCACACACTGCTACCATTATCTTTAATCTTTAAAGCACGTAGATCTAGTTTCTTGAAGCAAGAGCACTTGTTAGTTTCACATATACCTATACATATCGATACGCTACTTTACAAGTGAAATAATTATTTGTGCAGTATTGCGATGTACATACATTTTGTGCAATAAAAGACATACCTAATACACACTGGCGTTATCAACCCTAGTGTATTTCGAAATATTTACAAACGAGTACTATCAAAGTCAGATTTGTGCTTTACAGTTGCATCTGTATAGTACAAATCATAGAAAGCTAGACTAGAGTATCATACTGGCCCCCAAACCATACAAATAATGTACCGTAAATATATATCAAACCTATTAAAGGTATATATATATATATATATATATATATATACATGTATATGTCATACAAAAATCTTATTTTAAACATGCATGAACTTGTAATAATACAAAGAAATGCATGATAGGAAATTGATTTAAGCTACACTAGGCAAGGATGACTTTAAAGTATTATCTGACATTGCCCCCATATGGCCATTAGCAACTAAACTCTAGCAATTTAATTGGAGCACCCTGGTTTGAAAAGACTACCTACCGGTATATGATATAGTTGTGTATCAAATGTCACTTGCAGATGGTCCTCTTTATTTTTGTTCAAGATACCCATGTATGTAAACCATCAAAAGATAGAATGAATTCCTATCAAGGTTCATCAAAATAATCAAAACAAGGTGTAATCAAAACAAAATGTTAACGTGTATTGCTGCATATGAAAATGATAAAAAGTGAAGTCTCTGACTACAAGACACATGTAACTTCATTTGCATATTTCTAAGTATAAGCTCCAGAATGCAACTTCATTGAAACGTACTTTGGAGTATAAACACATGTACATACTTATTGGCATTTAACTATTCTACATAAACTTACACGAATAAATATTTCAAGTTATGTGTCAAAATTCCAGCCTGTTTTTACATATAACAATTTGGTCTTCTGTCCACTGTATGAAGATAAATATGTTTTACACACAGGATATAGATACACATCATAAAACAAAGGGGCAATTATAGTGCATATATGATTTTGTAATATCCCTACTTTTGTATACCATTAATACTTTAATTTTGTCTACAATGTTTAGCAATCTCTCTGATTTATATCACGTACCGGTATTTCAAAAAATGCCCTTTAGATATTCCATAATTTACAGATATACCGGTAAGGAGGAATATAATGACTGCTCAGTGTGAAGTATCATTCACCGTTTTTCTTTCATTTAATGCTGTTGATAATCAAAATATGCTGATGGCGTTTTTTTCATATGCTCACCAACATTTAATCTTGTGTCATGATCCATTTAGCTGCAATAAAGAAAGGGAGGAAAGAAATTATAAAATAATGATAACTTACTAATTAATGAGGATACCAGAAAGCTAGCAAGATTTCTTTTTACCATTGTATTTGAAAACAAGACTCTCGTTATGTAATTGCATGTTCACACTTTAACAGTCAAAATTTGACAGTCAGACAGTAAAAAAGAAAAGAAGAAAATTTGTATACACACGGGATGCTGTAGAAACAAATAGAAACAAAGTAGTGGCAAATAGTGGTTGGTAGGTTAGAGATCTAGAAAGAGAAAACTTGAAACAATTGTAATTTAATAGAGCTGTACAAAAATACAAGAGAAGATAAACTGTGTCCATGATCATCACATCAACTCACCTGGTATGGCCATGGATGAAAGCTGCTCCGGTCGATCCAATAGATCCACGTTCTCACGACGGAATATCTTAGAAGCATTACTTGCAAAATGGCTGCCAATGTGATAATGTAAAATTGAAAAGAAATCATGCATGCTGTGGATGATAGGATACTACCGGTACTGCCTTTTTGACTGATTCAATTCCGTTACTCCTCGAGCAGTACAATATACCTTCAACTGTGCTAAAATTCTAAAAATTTTCATCATTTTGACATTTTAGATCGATGGCCATCTAAAAAAAAAAAATTAGAACAATACAAGATAAGTTAACATTTGTTTGTCAGACTCAACTTGTAGAAGAGATATGTACATCTCTTACTTCAATATACATATCCATTGGCTTTGTTATTGTATATTAAAGCATAAGCTCTTACCTGTTTATATGCATGGAGAAGAAATGCATTTAAAAAAATACCCCTTTAAGCTACAGCAAATACCCCTTTGTTGATTTTACCCTACCAGTATGTACTATTAAAGTCCCACTGTACTTGCGCCCTCTATATAGCAAACAATGCCTTATCAGTGACCATTGGTCCCCCACGATCCTCTTTTTCACTTGATAATTGAGAGCTGATTTGATGAGATAACCACCTGTCAGTGACCATGAAGAGGGGCCTAATCCCTCCTGGCCAAATTAGTGCAGTGGAGCTTTAAGGGGTACTGGTAGTTGTTTAAAAGTAATTGTCTTGGGAAATAGTTGTCTAAAGGTTAATAATCTAGGTTTTATCTAAATCAACTGTACTCACGTTTTCCAGTCTTCCTCTGTCCCCCAGATCTCATAGATGACATAATGTGAGGTTCCAGCGAAGGCCCTTACACTCACACTGTCATGGAAACAGAGAACAACAATGAGAGACAGAGACCTTCATAATGCAACTAAAAGCTCCATTTCTCTCCAATAAAATATCCTCCTTAAAAAATTATTTGCACTTTCACAGCTATTTCTAAAGCAAGCTACAGAGGTTATTTGTCAATGTCATGTATTAATACCTATGACAAGGTTATTTTACCATGCAATCAAAATGCATATTTTGCCCAGTCCGGAAACTAGCAGTTCCAAGCGGGCAATATTTATATAATATTGGATGGCTTTGAGTGTGATACAAGCATACATTACTCAAGCTATGACAATATATTCTTGTATCACACAAAAACAAAGCCATATAATATTATATATATATATTATATATATGACTGAGCAATACGAAAACAATATTGATCAGTCATCCAGGTACTGCGCTAAAGATATTAAATGCACTGATTTACTGTACCACTAGGAACCCTAATATAGATAATATTCCCTGATATTTCCACTCTTCCAGGCTACGCCATTGACTTTGTGGACAAAAATTGTGATCAATATTGAGCTCACTACGTACTGGCTCCCATTAACATCCGGGACCTTCCAAGTAGCTGAATCGCCACAAATTTTGATCAGATGATCGTGCAGCGCGGAAGCAGGGTATAGTTACTGTACAGTAGGCCTATCCTTTCCTGATTTACAAAAGGATAGATAATAATTATGATATTGACTGGCTAATCTTTCGGGAGATACAAGGATATATTGCCCTTACTGGTATCTCCCTAAAGGCCAGTCAATATTATATAAATATTTTCTTCCTAAATACAGTTGGAGAGAATACCAGTGGTATTGCAGTACACAACACTGGTCATGGTCATGAACTGTTACAATCCATTTAGCTTGGCCGAAAATTCCTTGTAGCTTTAAGAGCTATCCTGAAATTCCAAAGTATGTTTATATTAATTTAAGGTAACACTAACCCTTGAGGTAAAATGCTCATTGTACCGACTACATGTACCACCTATAAACCCTCCATCAAAATAAATCTTCAAGGATAGAAAATAATCTTCCAATATGGAATTAATCTAAGACCTCTGCTTCACATTATAGCAAATTTAAATATCTAGGAAGTATAATATAAGTATAATGTAGTTCTAGTAATGATCATCAAATACAAATAACCCATCCATAAACGATGAATATTTAATCAAAAGAATTTGTGCATAATTTTATATTAGTATGTGTAATATTAACCACTGATATTCCCATATAACTCTCATCAAACTGATGCAATTATGTAAATTACCAACTGGTACAATGTGAAACCATTTGTAAACATCCAGTTGTTACATGTATAATGTGATCACAAAAACAAGTAAAATATATCAATTTCACTATCATTATACTTCCAGACAATACTACAATGAAAGAGTAAAACTTGTCCACTTGAAAACAAAACTTGAGAGTGATTTTGTTTGAATTCTTACGTAGTGCATCCGTCAACTTTCCCTGCTGCATCGACATAAGTCCTAAGGTTGCTGCGAAAATCCTTGTCCTTTTCATCAATGGCTGTAAACTTCCTGCTCACCAAGAAAGCCTGTTAAAAAGAACAAGGATATAAGCATTTACAGATACTTATATCAAATCATGATTGAGAACAAAATCAATCCTTTAAAAGAAGTAAATGTTGATAGAGTACTGGTCCCGTAATCCGGTGGCTCGAAACCAAATCGGTGCGCTTGTGCCCACTGGTAAGGCATTAATCCTCCTTACCAGGTCCCTCGGAGAGAACCTAAAGCTGTCGGTCTTCTGGTTGCTTACTAACAAGCATTAATTGCTTTCTTAGCTGTCAGGTAAAATAACCACCACTATATCAAATTTATCAGAAGTGTATACTCAGATGTTGTGTGTCCAGACAGGTTGTGTATCCGGACAGTTGATTTAGAACAGCAATTTGAAGAAGCTAGTATACAATAAAAATTTTATAAATATTCTACGACTTATGAATAAAGGACAAACATCCATGATGGATAGTGCTATTTGATGAATATGTTCCGCTAAATTTTAAGGCAAACAGAAGGCTGTATTAGCATTCAGACACCCAACTCCCCATTTATGTATTGGTGGATAATGTACAAAGATAGGTAGAAGACTTCTGTCAGAATTTTGTACTGTAATGGATTTGGTAAATCAATTCAAATTAGCAAGTTTGATAGCCAAATTAATCATGTGACAACTTTTTAAAGGCAACAATTCCTATTGACTGCAGTAGAGTTACAATATGGAATATTACTGTAATATAGCAACTGTAAGACCCATGTCTCACATTGTGATGAATTGCCGTTTGGTCTACGACCAGTTCGTCTACTACCCAATTAGTCTATTGCCATATGGTCTACACCCAGCCTGTCTGCTATCCACATGGTCTAATAATCATTTGATGATTATTGTCACATATGATCATTAAACCATATGGATAGTACACAAAAAGGGCATTAGACAAACTGGGAATTAGACTAAACGAGCAATAGACTATATGGGTAGTAGACTTATTGGAGATTAGACCAAATGGCAATTAACCAACCCCATATAATTATTTAAGTATCTTCTTCTTCTGGTATTCTTCAAAAGGCTAGGTAGCCTATCTATCTAGTATTTATTCTAGTAATTAAAATCAATACTATGATATTGATAAAGAAGTTTTTATTCATGACAAATTTCTCATACCAAGTTGGCCTTGCTTTCATCAGATACAATTTCCTCATCAACAGGATTGATCTTGACCTTCTGCTCAAGGCGGGTCAAAAGGCAAGCCAGTCGATTGACCTCAGAGGTCAGAGAGCTAATACCTGAAAATGAAGGGGAAAATATTTTTCATAAAGAGTCAATATTTTGTGTAAACAAGAATTGTTAGAGATTATACTGATTATCATCTGGTGTGTAAAAAGAGAAGTTTTTGTCTCTCGCTTATGTTTTTTTTCCTATTTCAATTTGAAAAATCAAGTTGACAAAATGACTTTGATTAACTGAAGAAAAAAATCATAATAGATATTTCAAATATGTGCTCGTAACTTGTGTTCTCAAGTCTCAACTGAAACCCAGGGATCATGAAATCTACAGAATTAGAATATGTAGAGCACCTTAGATAAATGACATGCACAAATTCTATGGGATCACACAAAAAATTGTTTAAAATAAGATGACTCTAAAGCAATAAATAATTAAAGAGAAAACAAAACTGTTAAATATAACTAATATTTTGATAATTGGTTACAGAAACAGAATCTTTGCATTAAATAGTTTGTCACTTTACACTCAATGAGATCAATGAAGAAACATCTATTAGTAAACTTATATCTGTTAACAATGGCACAGCCATAGAAGTTATATCAATTTCAGTCCTAATATTGCCAAGGGTGTCAACGGGTTCTAAAAAGTGGTGACACTTTGAGATAGGAGCGACTAAGGGGGGCACTGGGGGGGCACCTACCATCAGCTGGTACACTGGTCTGAGTGGATAGTTGACGTCTGGCCCTCCTGGCCACCCATCCTGCGGACGAACTGACCACTGGCTCAATGATGGCTACTTGAGATATTGGTGCCCTGCAAAGAATATAGAAATCACAGAATACATGTCTCTTAATTTGACCTAAAAGCACAAACAAATCACAAAGCTAGACTCAAGCTTGCCATAGTGGCCACTTCTGTAGAAAGACCAAAATCAAATGCAGCAATTTGTATCTTTTTCTTTTTTACACTGTACATGTATATAGTAAATTGCGAACAATAGCCATCACGCAACATCTACTAAAATCTGGTCATGCCAGAGCTCCTAAATGTGAGTTCATTGGTTGGACAATGGGTTAGCTAGAGCACATTTTTAAATTTTACTTGCCATATATTTGGTATTATACAACGCCTACTAAGATTCTTACAACCTCATTGGTCAATTATTGATCACATGACATGCACTAAAAGTACTGTTGAACAGCATCATTCTTCGGCCGTGCAATTCCGTTTGATCCTTTCGCACCATTGCACGCTGACGTCATTAACGATGTACAAAGTATATGGTGAGGTAAGTGACGTCACCGTGCAATGGTACCAATGGATCAAACGAAATTGCACTCCGCGTCACATTACACATAAAGGTTGGTAAGCATGGCGCATGGTACGCCCATGGTTTGAGGCCTGCTTAATAGTGCGCGCTCACTATCGGCAATTTCATAAATTGAAAACAAACAAAAAATCGCTGAGATTAAGGCCTAGGAAAACTGTTTTCAGCCTGTTAATGTCCGAGGTGTTGTATAAAACAAATAGTGAATGGTCTTTATTCGTGCAATGGAACAATATTTTGCATTCGGTGAAAGATGAGACGCTCTATTCAACTCGGCTGCGCCTCGTTGAATAGAGCGTCTCTTATCTTTCACCTCATGCAAAATCTTGTACCATTGCACTCATGGCCATTCACTATTTGTATAATATACACATACTATCCAATGCTTATTTCCTAGATTTGTACTTTTTTTCCCCACAATTACGACTGCACACACGAGAGACTGGTTCTAGATATGAAACTGATTTTGTCTAATAACCTGTCTGTCATTGCTTCTCTCTCCATGTGATCTGAGGCTGCATCAATGTTTCTCATCAATGAAGACAGCTGCCCCGACACCTCCTTCAGCAGGACGCGCACAGTGAACTGATCATCAAAAGACTTATCAGGATATACCTTCAAAATAGTTGAGAAAAAAGTTAAGAAAAAGGAATTCGTATCAACAAATCCTTTAATCGGTTGTGTTCCTTTTTTTCTTAAAATTTCACAATGAAAATATGGTGAACAGATCATCAAAGTTGGTAAATTTAATGAATACTGATTAAAATCACTGATCTTAAGCATGGCTTCTTTCTTTCTATCATTATTCTTTTTAAATAATGTTCATATTAAATAGTTTAAATCATCAACCCTACCATGAACAGGCAATTTTTAAAAGATGAGGGGGGGGGGTAACAAAAGGAGGTAAAACAAACTAGATGGAACTTCGACTGCACGCAGTCGAAAATGATGCCTCCGTCATAGAGCAATTTTACAAACCAAAACAGAAGAAATTTTTCAAATTCAAGTTCAATTGTAATCCATTAACAGGTTCTCAGAATATCGTGATTACAAGCAATTTCTCATATACATACATGTATATGACCCTTTGATCTTTGACCTCATGACCCTAAAATCTACTCAGTTCATTGGCTCTGCAAGATGTCCCGAGTTAAATAGTAATCCATCTGTCAGTTCTAATGAGAATGCGTTCACAAGTTATTTTTGCATACATAATGAGCCCATGACCTTTGACTTCATGACCCATGAATCTACTCAGTTCATTGGCTCTGCAAGATACATACATGATCAAAGTATGGCAGTAATCCATCAATTCTTAGGGTTAACTATGGATGAACATTTATCTTGGAAGAATCATTTAGATGTTGTATGCACTAAGTTGTCTCGAAGTGTAGGTGTCATTTTTAGATTGAAATTTATTTTACCTGAAAGAGTGCTGATAACATTATATAATAGTATTATTCTTCCTTATTTGACATATTGTAATGTTGCTTGGGGAAACACTTTTAAGTCATATCTTGATAAGTTAAGAGTATTGCAGAAGAAGGCAATAAGGCTTATTACTAATTCTAATTATAGACATCCAAGTTCTCCATTGTTCCTTCGATTAAGAATGTTACCACTAAGTGGACTTGTGTCAATCAATTGCGTATTGTTTATGTATAAACTTCAGTTTATGCCTCATGAATGTACGTTAAAAGATTTATTCCGTAAAAACTCACAAATTCATAATTATAATACACGTCAAAGGGGTCTTATTCATCAGCCTTTTGCAAGAACAAATATCACTCTGACCTCTTTCCATATCTCTTGCATCAAAGAATGGAACAGTTTGCCTGATGATATACAATATAGTACAACTCTTTCTAGGTTTAGAAGGTTATCTAAAACGTACCTACTTGGAAAACTGACATAATTTCTACTTTGTATCTTAATAATTCCTCATTTTCAAATGCTTATAGACCACTAAGGACTGTGTGTGTGTGTGTTTGTGTGTGTGGTGGTGCGCGCGTGTGTGTGAATATTTTTGTGTGTTCTATATTCTGTAGCTTAGTTTGTTTTCATCCCTTGTATGAACATTACATTCTTTTTATTCACCTTGCCATATCGTTAATGTATGTATTTTGTTGACTATAGGGCCCCGCTCACAAGCTTAGCTTCTACAGGGGTCCTAAAACCATTCACTTAATGATGTACTATTACCAGTCTCTTTTTCATGTAAAAGATTATATCATGTTTTGTGTGGTTTTGAATAAATGAACTTGAACTTGAACTTGAATCTGTTCTAATGAGAATGCGATCACAAGCTATTTTTGCATACATAATGAGCCGCATGACCTTTGACCTTGACCTCATGACCCCAAAATCTAATCAGTTCATCGGCTCTGCAAGATACATACATGACCAAAGTTTGGCAGGAATCCATCAATCGGTTCTTCAGATAACGCGATCACGAGCTGTTTTTGCATACATAATGAGCCCTGTGACCTTTGACCTCGTGACCCCAAAATCTAATCAGTTCATCGGCTCTGCAAGTAACATACATGACCTAAGTTTGGCAGGAATCCATCAATCGGTTCTTGAGATAATGCGATCACGAGCTGTTTTTGCATACATAATGACCCCTGTGACCTGTGACCTTTAACCTCGTAACCCCAAAATCTAATCAGTTCATCGGCTCTGCAAGATACATACATGATCAAAGTTTGGCAGGAATCCATCAATCGGTTCTTCAGATAATGCGATCACGAGCTGTTTTTGCATACATAATGAGCCCTGTGACCTTTGACCTTTGACCTTGTGACCCCAAAATCTAATCAGTTCATCGGCTCTGCAAGATACATACATGACTAAAGTTTGGCAGGAATCCATCAGTCGGTTCTTCAGATAACGCGATCACAAGAACGGGACGTACGGACGTACGGACGGACGGACGGACAACCCGAAAACATAATGCCTCCGGCTACTTCGTAACGGAGGCATAAAAAAACACAGGTGTGGACAACAATGTCCCTCATGCATACTCCCTGATATATAAGCAACATAATGCATCAGCATTTATCAGGTCAATATATCTGATTGTATTTTGATTTTGCCTCATTTCTTTGTATGCATGTTGTATGAACTAAATCCTCCAGACCCACCTGTGATGTTTGCTGTAGTGCTGAGGAAACAAATACTGACATGTCCTCCACTCCCCCAAAGATCTCTTTGAATGGTCCCAGGTGAGCTGAGAAATATTCTGAAGATCGAAGGTGGAAAAAATTGGCAAACATAAAAACACCAAGAAGCAGGAGGATTACTCAGTACTAGGGCCCGATAATCGGAAAAAGCAACATACGAATCTGGCTGAATCAACAAATTTTTAAATAGTCTACTCATACTTTGTTTTATCAATTGCTCTTTTTGTGCAATATTCGAAACTGTCCCTAAACATACTTAGATAAATTTTGAAGGCTAAATAAGAAGATAAGATAATGGGTGATTTTTTTTCAGTAAAAAGAAACAACATTAACTATACTCTCTTGAATGAGATGGACGTGTTTTTCGCGAGCTCCTGAAAAATGCACTTTTCTGCAGCCAAATAATGGACTCAAGGAAACTTTTTATACCAAACTGACGACGAAAGGACAGTGGTGAGATTTGTGTAATTCATTTTTCACAAATTTTTAGACTTTTAAAGATTTTGGCCATTTTATGCTGTTATTTTGGTCAATTTTTTAAATATTTATTTTCTTGATTTTTGAACATTAAGCGCAATATAAACACTTTACGCAGAATTCATCTTGGATACAGCGCAAGTGAGCGCAAAGATACAACGCAAGTGTGCGCTAGTGAGTTATCTCAGTATATTACGCACTGATGTTAACGCAGTACTTTTCAGCAAACAGGTGAACAATTATTTTAAATGACGTCACAATGACCATCGTTAACGTAAGAAGTCTCCGTGTGAAGGAACTCAAAGCTGAACTGCAGAAACGTGGTCTAAATAAAAATGGTGTAAAAGAAACTTTGGTTAATAGGCTGCAAAGTGCAATCAATGACAATATCCATCAAGCGAGTAATGACAAAAGAAATCAGGAGACGAATACTGAGCAAGCTGATCTCTATGACCTATTCAATCTAGTTTTGTCGTCAGTTAATGAACTAGCCGACAGGCTTATCCATCTTGAAGCTAAGTTCGATAGTGCTGATCTGGTAAAGGAGAAAACAGATCTCAATGAGATAGTGGGAACTATCTCAAGAGTTGTTTATACCGTCCCGACGAAGAATAGGTTCGATGTCCTTACGGATAATCATGTCACTGATGCTGAGCCTGCTACTTCGATGTCGACTAGTGACCAGATGAAAGAGTACCGAGATGGGCATCGCCAGCGCCGCTTATCTGAGCTACATGAATCTGTCCTTGAAGGCACAGACGTCGAGCCTCCTACTCCGATGTCGTGGAGCGACCAGATGAAACAGTACCGAGATGGGCATCGCCAGCGCCGCCTGTTGGAGGTACCTGCTGCTGTTTTCGAAGGCATTGACGCAAAGCCTTCGACTTCGATGTCGACGAGCGACCAAACCAATGAGTTCCGACAAGGGCATCGCCAACGCCGCTTGTCTGAGCTACCAGATGTTGTCATCGAAGGCGACTCGATGATCAAGCACATCGAGGGCCGACTCCTGAGCCGAAAACATCGAGTAGTCTGCCATCCGAACCCAGGGGCAACGGTGGCTGATATCTCCTCTAAGAAGGCTACTGAGGGTGTAAAGGCGAAAGGAGACGTCATTCTACATGTCGGGTCAAATGACTTGTCGAAAGGTAATGGTAGTACATCAACCGCCAATGACATCATAGCATTAGCAGACGTGATTGCAGCGAAAGGCTGTGATGTATGCTTGTCTGGTGTTATACACCGCAGATGGGAATCGGTTCACCAGAGGCGCAGTGTCGATGGGGTTAATGGGCGATTGAGAAGAGCTGCCCGTGAAAGGAGATGGGGTTTCGTTGACAATGACAACATAGGTGACAGGCACCTTGGCAGAGATGGGGTCCACATCAATAAGGCAGGACAAGCTGTTCTTGCCTCTAATCTACGCCACTTTATTGAGCGACCTCGAGGGCCACCTACACCTACTCAGCAAACGTCCTACGCTGAAGTTGTTGGATCTTCAACGCAGGATTTCGAGATGATTGCTCCGAGAGGGAGGCTAAAGTCTGCACCTGCTCTTCCAATGTTTCCACTGACAAAAGCTCAACAGGGGTGGAACGAGCATCTACGTCTCGTCATGGCAACATGCAGTTAAACTCTGTCTCTGGTACTGACATACTACATCATAATCTTCAGGATCAATCTCATGAACTGAATAAGAGTAACATTAAACAGTTGGAAGGTGGTTCAGTTCCTCCGTTTAGAAACAGGGGCTTAAAATTTGCCCATTTGAATATTCATAGCTTAGTTGCTAAGATTGACGAACTTAGATTACTTCTGAGAAATGCATCATTTGATGTTATTGGTTTAAATGAAACATTTTGCGACTCCATGATTGATGATTCTGAATTGTATATAGATGATTATATTTTATTACGTAGAGACCGTACGAGACATGGTGGTGGTGTGGCTGTATATATATCCAAGAGGTTTAATTATAAAAGAAGGGATGATTTGATTTCTTCTACTTTAGAATGCCTTTGGTTTGAATTGCATTATCCAAATAAGTCTCCCATCCTGGTTGGAGAGTTTTACAGACCTCCAAATTCTCACGTTGATTTCTTTGAAGAATTAGACGGAAATTTGGACTCTGCTCTCTCGGAAGATATGAGCTGTATTATTTTAGGTGATTTCAATTGTGATTGTATGCCACACCAACTTGATCTGAATGCTGAAAAGTTAATGTTTTATACAAATATGTACGGGTTAAGTCAGCTAATTGATACTGCCACAAGAGTTACAAATACCTCTTCTACTTTAATTGATTTGATATTTGTATCAGACAAGGAACTTTACAATGAATGGGGAATATTTGAAACTAGCATAAGTGATCATTATTTGGTGTATACGGTTCGCGATTTTAGTGCAAAGATCCATAACAAATCCGAATACGCAGAATTTCGCTCGTTTAAAAATCTTGACGAGGAGAAATTTTACAGTGAATTGAGAAGTACTCCTTGGCAGGTCATAAAAGATATAGATAATGTTGATGTTGCGTGGGATATGTGGTTGACTCTATTCAATAATATAATCAACAAGCACATACCAGTATGTAAAAAGCGGATAAGAAAAAAGGCATGTCCATGGATATCTGACGAGATTGTTAAGCTTATGACGGAACGTGATAAAGTTCTCAAAGCTGCTAAAGCTAACAAAAGTGATGATCTTTGGGACACCTACAAATATCTAAAGAATAAAGTTATTCATCTCATGAGGAGAAGAAAAAGAGAATATAATGCAGACCAGATCTCGCAAAATCATAACAATAGTAAGCAAATGTGGAGATGTTTGAGAAACCTTGTGCCTAAGTCATTACCTATATCTCCCAATAGCATAAATGTTGATGGTGCTAATGTGTCAGACAATGCAAATATTGCTGAAGCTTTTAATGACTTTTTCATTTCTAATGCTACTAAGATTACAAAGGACCTGCGAAGGAATAAGTCTCAACTGAGAGTAGACGAGGACAATAATATTGGTCCAACTCATTCGCAATTTAATTTGAATTTGATTACTGAGGATTTTGTATTGAAACAGATTGATAATCTGAGTATAGATAAAGCAACTGGTGAAGATCACGTCAGCTGTAAACTTTTAAAGATGACGAAGAATTTTATCGCAGAGTCTCTTTGTGATATCATTAACAAATCCCTGTCTACAGGAGTTGTTCCACGTGAATGGAAAAAGGCTCGGGTAGTACCAATATTCAAATCTGGAGATATTTCTTCTTTGAATAATTACCGTCCCATTTCGATATTACCTATCGTGAGTAAAATTATAGAAAGGGCCGTCCACCAACAACTCAGTGAATTCTTGGACGTGAATAAATTATTACACCCTAATCAGTCTGGTTTTAGACCTAAACATTCAACAGCTACTGCCCTTGCAAAACTTGTAAATCAATGGTCGTTGAATATTGATAACAAAGAAATTTCTGGAGTTGCCTTCATAGATCTTCGTAAGGCTTTTGATACTGTTGACCATGAGCTACTTCTACATAAACTAGCTTGTATAGGTTGTAGTAATAGGACTATTTATTGGTTCAAATCATATTTAGGGGATCGACAACAAGTGACCCAATTCAAAGGAGCCAAGTCGCATCCATCAACCATCAAATTAGGTGTGCCACAAGGTTCAATTCTTGGTCCCCTTTTATTTTCAATATATGTTAATAGTCTACCTGAATGTACTCCTGAAGGTATCATAGATATGTATGCTGACGATACGACACTTACCGTCAGTGCAAATGATGCAACTGTTGTGGAAGAAAAATTAACTGTTGCGTTAAACAGAGTCATGGCATGGATTAAGGAAAATCGTCTTGTTCTTAACACTGAAAAAACTTGTGTCATGTTAATAGGCTCTCCTGCTAATCTCAAGAAAATTGAATCTTTCACCATTTCATTAAACGGCAATTTGATCAAAAGAGTTCAATTCACCAAATGCCTAGGACTTTTGATAGATGAAGAATTGAAATGGTCTAAACAAATCGAAAACGTAAGTAAACTTACCCAGAAAAACATTAGCATGATAAAGAGAGCAAAGAGTTTTTTGCCTCAAAAATCCTTAAAGTTACTTTATAACAGTCTAGTGTTGCCACGATTAGATTACTGCTCTGTTGTATGGTCGAACCGATTTCATTCTCATACAACTAAGCTGCAAAAAATTCAAAAGAGGGCCGCAAGAATAATATTGAACAAGACATATGACACACCGTCGGCTGATTTGTTCACAAGTCTTAAATGGATGACACTAGACAAGCGGTTTGAGTTAAGTCGCGTTATGATGATATATAAATGCGTTCATAACTTAGCACCCTCTTACCTTCAGGTAGGCTTAATCAATCCTAATGATGTACATGAGCATCATACAAGGCAAATAGACAGTGGATGTTTACGTGTGCCTAGATTTCACACTGATTGTTATAAGTGTAGCCCAATTGTTTCTTCCATATTTGAATGGAATAAGCTAGATAATTCGTTGAGAACGGCTTCCTCTGTCAATTCATTTAAGAGATTGTTTAAACAAAGTTGTAATTTGTGAATAGCTCAGCCGTACATACACTACGTGCATGTTCTGTAATATTTACATGTCTTATTCACATAATTGCGACTTAATTAATATTTTCCTATTGACATTACTGCTTACTAAGTTAATGATATATGTTAATTTTGCAAACGAGTATTATTTTTGTAACTGTTCTGTATAAATGTTATAAACGATGTAAATATGTTCATTCAGGGCCCCATGGAAGACCACTACTTGCTGGTGAATGGGCTACCCTGTCAAAAGATCAGAAATAAATAAAAATAAATAAAATAAATAAAAAACTTGTTGTTATTGGCAAAATTAAAACATTGAACCCTTTGTAATCATTGGATTAAGCGAGAATGGTAGTGAAAATATTAAATGCATTATTTCCCTGACGCCGGGGTCCATATTTCTTCAGTACATGTTACTAAAGCCAAGTGATGTATGATTCCCAAGATGCAATCACAATTTGCTTTGATGGCAATGACTAGAAATTTCTATAGCTTTAATTCATCACAATTAATGGTTACAAGTACAAGCAACAGCGTTCTTATCATCAATAAATCTAGCTATTATCATTCTTATTTTCTGTTGTCACAAGATAATTTTAGATGATATAATCAAATTTTATTTACAATACAGTATTAAAAAACAAAAGAAATACTAAAATACTTGTGACAGTGACGGTGTGTATCTAATTAATCTCCTCTTCACCCGAGAGTATTATGCTCATGCGCATAATTAACATACATGGATATTTATAAGGTTGGTAACACTGTTCCTTACCACAGAGCTCCCCGACATCAATGTTATTGGTGTTGTGTGTGTCTATCTTATTGAATAACTCTTCCAGCTCATCTGCAGTCAGTATGCCATCCCCAAAGTAAGATTTGAATTCCTCCAGCGAGAGGCAATTATCATCTACACCAATTGCAACAGAGAACAGAGAAGTATTGTAGAAGAGAGGTAATAATAATAATAATAATAATAATAATAATAATAATAATAATAATATTAATAATAACAATAATAACAACAATAATAATAATAATAACAATAACAATACAGTAGGCTTGTGGTTGCACCATGTGAGAGAGGGAGAGGATTGGGGAGTCCTGAAAAGGACTCTCGGTAATCTTTCTTTCTTGAGTGTGTGTAGTCCTGAAAAGGACTGTTGGTATAGTCTTTTAAAAAGACTGTTTGTTATCTTTCTTAGCTTATAATTCTAAGGAGAACTATAGCGCCGGTTGGAGAGGATGGGTGGTACAAAGAATGGCTCGATATTTCAAACAGGTTGACTATCCATCGTCAGGAGTGATAATAACATTGATCATAATACTAATAATAATATTAATAGAAATAAATAAAAGATAATTATGATACAATTAATCCACATATACATTTTGCATAACATGTAAACGTTTCTCTATGCACTACACAAGCAAAATGTAAAAGATGACAACCTTAGAGTGCACACACCAGTAAAAAGCTCATTGTCATTTAAGAATTGTCATATGACTACATCTTTGCAACATCAGCTAGAGCTTATCCCAATTTAAGGAGAGAAATGCTGATATACAAAGGATGGACATAAAAAATTGGACTATTTAATGATTATTTTAACTTTAAATTTTAAATATTGTACAATGCACTTATATTATTTTATGAATCACAAGTGCTTCTTATATATGTAATGCATTTATGAATTGGTAAGAAAAATCAAAATATGTAGATATAGTTATTCTTACAGTACACAGATTCATGATGCAGTTTTTATCAATAGAAAACACTCAAGCTTTTGAATTAAGGGTAACAGTATTGCCATTTTCAAAATTCTTTCATTTGCTTCATAAGTTAACATGAGAATGCAAAAAAAGGGTAAAAAATAATGATTTATATTATCTTCCCACGTCTCAGTTTTCTTACCATTTTTATCAGCCCTTCTGAACACCTGCAAAAAAAGAAGAGAAATGTGATTATAACATCAGTAGCTTTTTTTGCCTTCAATATCATCAAAAAGACAATAGCATACATTTATAGTCGATATCAATAATTCAATATAAAGTAAAGGAGGGGGTTTTCGACCACTTAAGACAAAATCCTATTTTTGGGACTCTTTACTTCCTATTTATTATCATTTCTTGTTTAAATCATGAAGCAAATGTTCTTATTATTTAAACAAAAAAAAAATCCCAGAAAAAAATCATGAATTGCCATGACAATATTCATTTCAATTTTCACTGTTTCTTGAGTTTTTGACCGCATGTACAAAGTCAATAGGAAGCGCGTGCACGCGCCACATGTTTCCGCGCTGTTCTATAGCACTAGCGGGTTATCCCCGGTGCTCGCCATGTCGAAAACTAGCACTGCGTTAATCGGAAATTGGAATCTGAATTAGACAGAGATATCGTGTGTGCATTGCTGTTTCCGGCTGCATTGATTTAATACATGCGCTGAGATACTTTTGAGCTTGCGACTCGCACAAAATTGGGCTCTAAATCTGAAAAATACTTGAAATAAAGCTCATTTTATGGTACCCATATTTCTTACAGACACGGGTAAGATACTCAATTTTTTCAGATTTTTTCAAATTACATCGCTAAAATGCGATATTTTAGGATATTATATTTTCCATTGCAAATGTGGTTCTTCAGTGACGCTGACATGGTATGGTATGTGTGGGATATGTGATATGATATTATGCGATGTATTTTAAAGGGATTTTACCATGCATCCAACCAATCGGCCGAAAACTGGAGATGGTCGATTACCCCGTCCTTTACTCTAGGTCTACATTTATTTTAATATTTGTTAAACCAATACCTATAGACCGCTGCTCAATAAGTCTTCTTGCAAACTTCAAATTTATCTTGGCGAAAGCGAGAATTGTGCAATACAAGACAAGTGGTAGCAATCTGGCAATAGGATCGATAGATACTGGATCTGGATTTTTAAATCTCTGTATTTGTCACTATTTAATTTGTTTGTTTTGTAATAATTAGTACTGAAAGTCACCATCATTTACTTAAAGTCTTGAATACATAACAACAACAAAAAGTAACTATGAAAAGTAAAACAGACAACAATAGTACACGGAAACTAGACCGAAACTAAAGCCTAGTCTATGTAATAATGTATCTCGAACTCAGCTCCACCAGGGAGCTCCGCGATCCGCCGCCGAAAACACCTTCGGAATTCGGAGCTCCCTGGCCTGGAGCTAGCTTGGAGTTAATGTATCTCAGGTTCTACCCAAACAAACACAAAAGAATGCATGTAGGACTGAAGCCATCACCAGAAGTTATATTTCATGCCATTTTTACAGTTTTTATGGAAAAGCTCAAGTTAATGAATTTCTCAATATCTGCTAGACTGTTATACTTACATCTTGGAAAACAGTCATCCCTTTCTCCATGATGACAATGAAATGAAATACGAAGGATTAGCAGCACAACAATGAAATTGAGTGACACAAAAAGGGGCGTGGTCCGGTTGATCCCATGAAAACACGTCCCAGCCAGCGCCAGTCGATATCGAGATACGCCTGCCAGGCCGCGCAAGTTGGGGTGCTTGCGGTTCAGGGGCCGCATGTTAAAAATTGTACCAATTTAATAATAATAATAATAATAATAATGATTCTGACAATGGAAATAAGAAGAACTTAGAAGAATTAAGAATGATAATAATAACAATAATACTATTGATAATAATAATTATAATAATGATACAAGCGCCGTACTAGCCAGGATTTCATTTTAGTGAGCACGCAAAGTGTACCAATTTAATAATAATAATAATAATAATGATTCTGACAATGGAAATAAGAAGAACTTAGAAGAATTAAGAATGATTATAATAATAATAACAATAATAATATTGATAATTATAATTATAATAATGATACAAGCGCCGCGTAGCCAGGATTTCATTTTAGTGAGCACGGCTGAGCACGCAAAGCGTGCGAATCACTTAAAGAGCGCGTAGCGCGCTCCCTAGGGGGGGGGGGGGGGGGGGTGCAGGGAGGGGGAGTTTCCCCCCTCCCTTGCGAATTAGCGCGAAAGCTTTGAAAGAAAACGATTCGTTGTACCTTTCTCGACTCATAATCCTCGTCTGACTTCAGTCCGCCCCTCCTGCGCACAGCGCGGAATTAAGCTTCGACGTATTATTAGACAAAGAAGACGATTCGTTGTACGCGTACTTTCTCGACCCTACGGATTCCTCTTTGAAGTTTCATTAAATTATTAGAGAAAGAAGACTACTCGATCGAAGTACCGTTCTCGACTCTTGATCCCGTCTGAATTCAGCCCCCCCCCCCCTCCACCTGCGCGAAGCGCGGAAGCTTTGACGTATTATTAGACAAAGAAGACGATTCGTGGTACCTTTCCCGACCCTTACTTAATCCTTATCTGTATTCAGTCCCCCTCTGTCGAAGCGCGGAAGCTTTGACGTTTCATTAAATTATCAGAGCAAGAAGACGATTCGTTGTACCGTTCTCGACTCCTTTTCCCTTTTTCTTCCTACTTCCTCTTACTTTCTTTCTTCTCTTTCTGTCTCTTTTTTTTTGGGCCGGCGTTTTTTTTTTTTGGGGGGGGGGGGGCGACCGCCCCCACCGCCCCCCCCCCCCCCCTGGCTACGCGCCTGTAATGATAATACTACTACAATTAATAACACTTATGATAACAACTATGATAAAAGCGCATAACACATAGGAAGAATTATTTGTAATTGTCATTTTTTAGAGTGTAATGCACTTGGAGAGTATACTATTATGTTTGTATTTTAAAATGTAAAGCGCCTTGAGCATGTTCATGTAAAGGCGCTAAATAAATACCAATATGTATGTATGTATGTATGTATTATAAGTCGCTATAATTATGCACTTTACAGAACAGAATACAGGAATAGAAATGAAGCACTGATCGGTTCATATTTGTGAGATTTTGCAAAGTGCTAAATAAATATCTTTTCAAATGACTTCTTTTTGTATGTATGGATTTCTATGTTATTCATCATGAAAACATATTAGTGGCTCCATATTAAAATCAACTAAGCCTACCCCGTAAGATTTTGTAATATATAATTTGTGGGACACAAAATAAAGACTTTTACTGGAAAGCAGAATTTTTTCTGGTTTAGATCTATACCGTATTAACAAATAAATGAGATTTGATGGAGCAAACTGGTGGATACATCGATAGGTTATGAAAAGTATTTTTGAACTGGATACGGGACTGGATAGGTAGCCAATGTAAAATTTTTATTGGGATTTATTGATGTCTCTTTGTTCGTCTCATAAGTTGTAATATTTGAAAAATTTACCTATTTCGTACAACCCAAATAATGCCGAGCGACATTTTTGTGAAACAAATTTTCAAATTTATCATCAAAAGTGATCCCTCGATAACCAGGCACATAGCTACCGGGGGGGGGGGGGTCACGGGCCCCCAAAAAATGTCCAAGGTCGGTTGAACTTTTTTAGACCCCTCCCCAGGACGTCGATCAATTACATGTATGTGCCCCCCCCCCCCAACATCAAACTCTGTCTACGTCCCTGTAGATAACTACATGTTTTGGTTGCATGAACAGGGGTGTTGAGGTCGAGTGGATACGTCGCCGGACTTTGAAAATTTGAAAAATCGCATTCCCCCTCCCAACCCCCTCCCCCCCCCCCCTCTTGAGCGCCAGGGGAGGAAGCCCATCTCCGAAAAAGGGTAAAATTAACACTAATTAAGAACTGTTTTTTCTCCAGGGGGGGGGGGCGGACCTCCGCCCCCCCCCCCCCCCCCCCAGTGGATCCGCCACTGGAAACAAGTTGGGGTGCAATTCATATAACTAAATTTTAGACCACAAATCTTGTATTGTGGGGCGGAGAGATTACAGACCATAGAGATCTATTATAGATCTCTATGGTCTGAAATGTGTCTAGCATAGAGATCTATATAAGAACACTATAATAGTGTTCTTATATAGATCTCTATGCTAGACACATTTCAACTTTGAAGAAACAAAAAAAAATCTCCTCTCAAACCAAACTCGCTGTCTCATTTCGCTGGCCGTAGAGGGCTTAGGCCGCCCGAAAAATTTCGCGCATTTTCATTGGCTGTTGCGCTTTGCAAAAGTAGAACTGTTTCGAAATTACGGCGCGACGTAAAGACACGAACTCGACACCGAAAGAATCACAAAAGCACATCTCGGCAGGAAACTAATTGTGATATAAATTAGTAAGTGAGTAATTAGTAATACCTGATTTTCTTACGGTGTCTGTTTGAATGGTACAAGTGATACGGATAACGGGATTTAGAAATGTAAGGGGGTCTAATGCTGCAGGTGACTGTCTAATCCAGTCAGTGGAGTCCCACACATTAATTGTTGTGTAGGCACGAAGAACCTTGCGCATTGAGCGCTGTATGGCGGTGTGACCAAAGTTCGCTTCCTCAACAAATCGGTAAGATTTCAAAAATCTGATATCACCAATGGAAAGAGGGTCATAAAAATACCCAGAAACGAAATTTTCTTTAGAATTGGGTGCGAAATTGTGAAAATATTGACAAAAGATCGGCAAATTTTGCAGTTATTTGCGTCCGTTCCGAAAAATTATCAACTTACCTATAAGGGTCTGGAAATCTTCATTTTGATCAGAAATCCTCAAAATTGTAAGTAAAGAGTGGTACTAACTGATTGTACGATATCTTGTCTTGCAAATTATGATATTACCTTATTTTTGATGGATCGCTTTTTTTGATAAATCAACTGTAAACCACCGTGCGTGAAGTTAGGTCTCATTGTTTTTATGACTTTTTTAGATGCAGCGCGCACGCACGATCGGACATCAAATTTTTAGATCGCGATATCTCCGAAATCCTTCAACGGTAATTTTTTCTAGTTGAACCAATCTGTAGTAAAAAACTTTGCCGTCCATTTGGTAATAAACTAATAATTGAAATAGGGTCTAAATAAAGTTGTGTAGATCTAGAATGTGGAAATCATAGATCGAATAGGGTCTATCACATTTTGTAATATGTTCTAAAATGTCCGCGAACTTTGGTCACCCCTTCATACATACAGTGAGTAGAGACAGAAACTTGGGCGCTTGTTCAGAACCCTATCCAAAATTTGACCCGTAACTCCGGCGTGGAGATACCCTACTAAAACATAACCAAAATGAAAAAAATAAATGTCCAAATAAAGATCATGAGTTAAAAAGTTGTTGTTTCTTACCTGTTTCGTGTCATGTCAATTTTCTTTTTTTGGAGTAGAATTTCCTAAAAACAAAGACTAATAAACAAATAGTCTATACACTTCCTCACAGGATTCACAGCAAACTGCTGCACAATACGATCGCGTACCGTATCCATGGTGGAGTGCGAGCGTGCCTGTGTGTTAAGTTTAGGCCCGTTTCAAGTAAACGTTTAATCGTATACCCGCCCGGCCCGGTTAACGAAAGCCAGTACTGCAGTAGACCCTAGTCGAAATATGAACTTGATAACCGAATACTCGATGACTCATTGGGAACCCAAGAACATCGCCTAAAAAGAGTCTAAATGGATGTGAAATAGAAATCTTTAAAAACAGGCCTAGTTAAGTTAGCGACTATAACTTAACGTCAAATGAAACATGTGACATGTGTCCAAAACCAGACAAACACTACGGTTCTGAATCAATTTAGCTATTCCTCCATCCATTGAAATTTTATTTTTAATGATTATGTGACTATTGAATCATAGAGTCTACTACAAATGCCATTTCTTCGAAAATCGGATGGCAAGAAGATGATCTACCAGTATATAGTGTGTTATGGGCCTAAATGAACCTGATTAATGAAACTTCCTATTCCTAGGATCACCATATTTTGACTTTATAAATTATTTACAGATTTTAATTGAGTCTCAAGATGCCAAGGAGAAGGAAAACAAGGTTGGCTACTCGAGCCAAGCCATTGCTTCCTGAAGCTACTGATGAACTGGACATGGAGAAAGAAACTAGGGAGCAAAAACTAGAAACATATCTCAAAGACTTTGATATCCAAGGTAAAAGAGTAATTACTTATTTTTTCAACATAATTTTCTTTTGATATTTGATATTTCTTTATTAATATTTGACTTTATAAATTTAATAGTTTATACTTGTAACTAATTGCATAAAGATGTATAATTTGTGTGGAGCTAGAATGCACAAAAATGTATTTGAATATGCAATATCTCTTTATGGAATTAACATGTAGAAGTTTCATGGTCTAGTGGATACATAGTTGGACTGTAGACCACATGGTTCGCGGTTCAAGTCTCACTGCGGGACAAATGTCCTTTTGCAAGAGTATTTGCCACTCTCCATCCAGGTAATGATTGGATATCAGGAAGGAATTCCTATATGCTTTGAGCAACAAAATTGGTAGCTTAGCAGAGCCGGGGTAATATTAGAGCGACTTGAGCACCTTGTGTGGTGGACTATAAAA